AGCCCCTGATTGGCTGATTGTCCTGAGGGAGGGAGGGCCTTGGTGAGCAGCCTGCCTGTCTCAGTGTTATTCTTAAGTCTCTGTAAGAGCTCACCAATGACTCCAGGGGGCCTGTTGTTCTCTTGGTGGGACGTATTTAAATGTGGCCTGAATGTCCTAACACCTATTTAAGAGACAATGGACATTTTATTTTTCTTTCTTAATCCTCACCCCAAGGAGGGGTTGAGAGGGAGAAAGAGAGACATGGATGTGAGAGAGACCCTGCCATTGGTTGGTTCCTGCACTCCCACCCACCTGGGAGGGGCTGGAGCCAGCAGCCCAGGACCAGGAAATGGACCTTCTTCCTGCCATCAGCTCCTCACTGGTTCCCTGTTTGTCCAGGACCATATAGCTGAGCCTCCCTCCTGGCAGCAGAAGGCAGTTATCTCCATGGTCCCCAGGAGGCTCTCCCAGGGGAAGAGGAGTTGGGGGAGTAGCAGCTGAGGGGGAAGAGGCTGGTGAGCAGATGTCACTGAGCAGGAGGGGCTGGGACTCCAGGGCCACATGCTAGCCTGCACAGGCCGCCTGCTCCTGCCACAGCCAACAGGGAGCCCCCAGTCCACCTTCAGGGTTCCTGGCCCGATCCCTGCTCCCTGCTACAGGTGATGGGGGAACCCCAACCTGGAAGGGCTGCCAGACCCTTCCTTGCTTTCAGAAGGAGGTGACAGGTTCCCAGACAGGGGGATGTGCAGGCTCACCTCAAACATTTAAAAACCAGAGTCTATGCAGCAAAAGCACAGAGAAGTTCCCAAGGGCATAAGCCATCCCTTCCCTGTGGATAGGGCCCCACAATTAGATGCCAGGTGTTGGGGGCACTCTGGGGTTGCAGGGTGTCTCCTCCATGGACATGGGTCTGTGTGGTGGCACATTATGCACCAGTTCAGATGGTGTCCACCCTCACCATAAGCTGAACTAAGACCAGCTCTGTCCAAAGAGATTGCTCCTCCCCCCTCCCAGAGGGACATAAGGAAATACAAGGAGGAGGTGATGGTGGTGCAGGAGAAGACAGGTAGGCGATGGCCTTGAGTGTGTCCCCGCACCCTCTCAGGCCTGTCGGTGAGCGTGGAGAGTGGAGCGGTGCTGCCTGGACAGGGAGGAGGAGCCACAGACACACAGATACACCGGAGCCCATCAGAGTTAAAGCTTTCACTTCTAGAAGCACCAGCGCAGTGATGTGGCTTAGTGCACAGAACGGCTTCCCCTAGACCAACAGGTTCCAGGTTTGATTCTCATTCAGACCACATGGCCGGGTTGCAGGCTTGACCCACAACAGGAGACAGCCAATCAATGTGTGTCTCTCATCAGTGTTTCTATCTCTCTGTCCTCCCTTCCTGTCAAAAATCAATAAAAATATCTATACTAATGAAAGCCTAGGTGGTCCTCAACGTCACCACAAGATGGCCACCACATGATGGCCAAAGGCACTGTGGAGACTGGGTCCATCAGATGCTCCATTTGGTGAGGCCTGGGAGTCCCGCAGCTCCCAGATTGGAGATTGTGCAAGCCAGGCTGAGGGACAATCCCCACGCCCCATGCACGAATTTGGTTCACAAGGCCTCTAGATTATGGATTTTAAAAAAAGAAAATGAAAAGACAACTCCCAGTATGAAAGAACATATTTGCAAACCCTATGCTTGATAAGGTAATTGGATCCAGAATATAGTAAAATATTACCAGTCAACAATAAAAAAACAAACAATGAATGAAAAAGTGGGCAAAGGATTTGCAGACATTTGCTCAAAAATGACGAACAGACACTGAACCCATGAAGAGATGATCCATATGCTGAGTCATTAGGGAAAGTGAATCAAAACCACATACTTCTTCACACCCACGGGTACAAGTGTGTGTTCATAGCACAATTATCCTTATAAGCCTCAAGTTGGAAAGGACCCAGATGTCCATGAGCTGGTGAACGGTGAAGTGTGGGTCTCCACTGTTGATGCTACAGGGTAGGAATGCTGGGACCCTGCCTGGGCCTTTTGTCCTTGTGGCGAGACCCACAGGCATTTCCTGGGCTGCAGTCCTGTTGTGATCCCATTTAAAGGAAATGTCCAGAATAGGCAAGTCCATAGAGACAGAAAGCAGATCAGTGATGTGAAGGGGCAGGGGAAAGGGTCATGGGGTGGGGTGACTGCTAATGGGTTCGGGCTTTCTTTTTGGGCTGATGGGAATATTCTGGAATTAGTGGTGGTGGTTACACAATTTTATAAATACACTAGAGGCCTAATGCATGGAATTCTTGCACTGGGTTGGAGCGGGAGTGTCCCTCAGTCTAGCCTGTGCCCTCTCACAGTCTGGGATCCCTCTTGCAGTCTGGGACCCCTCACTCCTTACCTCCCTCCTGCTGGCTGCTCCTTAGCCTGCTGTAGAGGCAGGAGAGGTTCCTGCCACAGTGATGAGCCTGGCTTCTGGCTGAGCAATGCTCCCCCTGTGGGAGCACACTGACAACCAGGGGGCAGCTCCTGCATTGAGCGTCTGCCCTTAGGTGGGCAATGCATATAACAGCGACCAATTGTTCTGCCTTTTGGTCAATTTGCATATTAGGCTTTTATTATACAGAATACATATTTTAAATCCACTGATTAAAGTAATTCAATCAGAAATTCTGTTATATAAATTTAACTTTAAAATGATAAAAATTAAAAGTACGCACTGGAAGAAGAGAGCAGACATAAATATATTAGGTGCATGGCTGTCATTGAAGTATTAAGGAGTCAGGCAGCCTCTTCAATTTGCTGGCCCTAAAAAAAAAAACAAAAAAAAAACAAAAAAAAAACCGTTACCAGGAGCTCCTGTGTAGAAATTTTTCAAAGCTGGGCTGTGCTGGCTGAGGGTCCAGTTGGCTACAGCGTGCTCCTGATTTGCCACGGTTTCCTATTGGATCCTGGCTCAGCGCACATACAAGAATCAGCCAATGAATGCATCAATAGGTGGAGCAATGAATCTTCCCCTTCTGTCTCCTTTCCCCGTTTTTTTCCGCTCTTATCCTCTCTCTAAAATCAATGGGGAAAACCCCACAGTGAGGTGATGGCTAATGCAATTACGTATTCCCCTTTCACAATATGATGTGAACGTTTTCCATGTCAGTAGAATATTTTAAGTATATTATTAAAAAAGACATTAGATTACGTATAAACTTGAGACTTTCAGGCACTGCACTAATTTTCTGCCATTAGCAAGCTTGAGATGAATCTATTGGTCCTCACACAGAAATATTTCTGAACTATTTTTATGTTAAAAAGGCAAAATAATTAAAGTTAGAAAAAAATGTGTGCTTTTCAAAAAGCACAGACACGTTTCCTATACTTCAGGCATTTTTTGAAATCCTTTAAAATATGGATTCATTTAATCTAGTTTTCATGGTCATTTTACAAATGTGGGAACTGAGGCACAGAGGCACTTATCACTCCCAGAATCACACATGTGAGAGCAGGGAAAGGGTCTGCCCTGGGCACTCCAGCTGCAGAGTTCCCCCTCCCCCAGAGCCTGCTGCCCCATCAGGTCTCTGCAGACATGCTCTTCCAGGCACAGAACCTTCTGGAAGGTCACACTGACACTGCTGCTAGTGTGTCTTCAGAGGAGAGGGAGACAAGGCTGAGGATGGGGAGGAGCTTTGCTTCGCATGCTGTCCATTCCCCAGCTGCTCATGTTTACAACCTCATGGTTGGAGGGGCAGGTTTCTCTGAGCCCGGTTTGGGGAGACCCCACTCAGTGACCCAGAAGTCCCTGCCTTTTCTGTCCAATTTGCATGTGATTGTTTACAAATAAAATTAGTACACGGAAAGTAGTCTTAATTTCTTTCAGAAGTTAGAATCTAGAGAGGACTATGCATTTGGCCCCTCTGTCCAGGGTCCTGGACATGCCCGGTCCAGGCCCACTCACCACCCCACAGGCTGAGGGGCGTGGCCTGGTCCCCTGTGATCCTCAGCGAGTGTCCTGGATGCCCCTCCTCCCCGAACCCTTGTCTCTCTAGGGAAGATGGACCTCAGACATGACAGAGCCCGACCCCGGTGACCTTGGTTCCGCCCGTGTGTGTGCCCAGGTGAGGCCAGGAACTCCGGAGGAGTTCCCACGTGCGGTTTGGGTAAAAGCCAATGGGAAGTGCTGACACCTCTTGGGATGATGCCCAGATCGACTTTTGGAGGAAAGTCAGTTCTTCCTGTGAGAGTGCAGCTCCAACCACAGCCCGCTGGCTGCTGGGGACATGTGGAGAGCCCCGCCCCTGGGTTTGGGTGCAGGAGAGGCACCTTGTCCTTCCCCAGCACTGGGGGCTCCTCCCTGGTTCTCACTCCTAGCACCTGCCTGCCCTGCGCCCGCCTCCCACCAGGGGGCGTGCTGGCCTCATCTCCCTCCACTGGGCTAGGCAGGTGGTGGGGGACAGATGCAGGCCATAGCCCTTCCCAGTCCTAAGCCCTGGTGGGGTGGAAACAAGAGCTGGATCCCAGTGACTGGGATGCAACTGTCATTCCGTGAAACCCGCAGATCCTCGGGAACACCTGGCAGTTGTTCTTAGAAGGAAAAAAAATGCACATCCCTTGTGACCCCGGGGAGCCAGAGAGAGGACCCCATGTCCACCACTTAGAACCCTTCCAAACCATTCATGAGCCGGGACAGAACAGGTCAAACTGCAAAGTTTATTAAGTGCCATGTGTTTGCTGACAGGTGAGAAAAGAGCAGAAGGTAATGGGGTTCTGCCTCATGGTGTTCGCTGTAGGCATTGGCGACCTCGGGGCCTCCATCAGCAAAACCATTTCTCATGATTGTCCAGAATCACAGAAAGGGACAGTCAGCACTGAGGACAGTGTAGAGTTCCAAAGGAGCAAGCATCAGACGGGCACATGGACTCAGAAAGGCTCCTGTCCCCAAATATCCCTGCAGTCCCAGAGCTCAGTCAGCACCAAGGACTCCAGGCTCACTGAGGAAGCAGAATCCGAAGTCATCTGGTCAACCGTTCTTGGTCAGCTGACACTGCGGAGAGAGAAGGCCAGAAATGCAGGGACACACGGTTATAAACAGAGGAGTGGAAAAGTGGGACACAGAAGGACATCAAGGAGGATGAGAGGGAAATAAAACCAAAAGGAGAAACAAAGGGAGAAAAATGGAGAGATTGACTAGAGCAGGAGCACAGGAACAGGGAGGTTATATCATGCACAATCTGGGATTCCAGACCCTCCCCAGTCCCCGGGCACACCCCATGCCTGTGAAGGGGACAGGACCTTACCTGGAACAAACCCTGTCATCCAAGGTGGGTGCCACACAACAGCCCTGGCCTCTCACTTTTACCACGAAGGTCTCCTGGGGTCTGAGTGACCAGGGACAGCACTGCTCAAAGCAGACCCTGAAGGTGCAGTTTCCACACTTCCGGGTCCTGCTCAAGGGCACCACGGCATCGTCATAGCAACAGTGCTGCTGGGGGTCGTAGAACTTGTCCCCACATCTGGAGTGTGCCTGGCACAGCATCAGTTGAGCACCCGTGGGGGACACTGGAGGAGACAGAGCTGCTGTGGCCCAGATGACAGGACGAGCAGCGCCCATGTGGGGCCCTGTGAAAGCCACCCACCGCCCAAGTGTCCCTGTCCCTTCCAGGCTCACCTGGGGCTCCATGGGCACAGAGGAGGCTGATGATGAAGACAGCGGTGGTGAGAGCTGTGGGGGAGGAGCTGGATGAGGTGTGGCTGAAGGGGCAGCCTTGGGTCCACCCCAGGGAGCCCTGCCTGGGACCAGGGAATGTCTGAGAGGGTCTCTGTCCTGACTGAGGCTCAGGATGGGTGGAATGTGAGGGTGCTGGCAGGATTCTTGGGAGAAATGGGTTTAAGGTTGTGGGGAATGTGGGTGTTTCCTGGGCAGGCCTTGAGAGCAGGAGGCCCAGGGTCACTCAGGGGGCTGAGCTGACTGGGTTGCTATGGAGATGACCCACATGAAAGTCTAGAAGACTGGCATTGGAGTGGGAATGGGGCATGGGTGGCATCAGGCATGAGTTTCAGAACCGAATCCGAAATGTGGATGGAGAGGATATTGGGGAGATGGATCGGGTAAGGCCTGGCGCTAAGGAGAAGTAGGGTGTGGAAGGGATGGGGTGGTAGGTGAGATTGGAGCTGTGATTCAAGGGAACTGGAGTTGGGTTTTGCTTACCCAGGATGTAGCATCGGGAAGTCATGGCTCTGGGTCGGCTGCAGCGGAATCAGAAGAAGGTCTGCAGTTCCCGCAGGAGCTTTTATGTCTGATAAGGGAGGGTGATGTCATCAGGTCTCCTGCCTCCTGCCTCCTGGCCAGGCCTGTGAAGACACGCTGGGACCATGAATCAGGAGAATCTAGACATCATCTCTGGCACCCGGGATCCTCTGAGAGCCAGGTACCACTCCCCCCACTTCATGAGACTTTCCCCAAATGCGTCCCACTCATGCCCAGGGCCTCCTCAGCAAGCAGGACACGCCTCAGAGCCACCCCACTCTGCCAGGAGGAGTCCACCAAACAGCCTTTCCTTTGCATCACTTAAGTCTCTTACTTTCCTCACTGTCTTTTGCACATTGCTAACCTCTCACATCCTTGGGGTTGGGGGGCAGGGTGTGCTCTCAGCTCCCTGACTTCAGAGCCCTGACCAGGAGCTGCTCACTAAACCACAGTTCAGGGTACTCAGGTGAAGGTGATGAGTTTTTACACGTGGAAATTCTAGGTTGAAGAAGTTTGGAGAAAGAGGGAAATAAGTGGGGAGGATTCTGGGGCAGCTCATGAAACAGAACCAGGGGAAAGGCCCTGGAGGAACCTTGTGCTCACTCCCCCAGGGCCCTCTGGCTGGTCTCCTCTGTGTCTTCATTCATGTCCATTATTGAGGAGCACAAGTCCACTACACACCCTATATGGTCCAGATTTTTTTCCAGACACAGGTTACCAGGGGGTGAGAAGGCTATTCCAAGGTCATAATTTTCATGGAGTTCATGAGAAGAAAGTCAGGAGGGAAAGAAGGAAGATGGGAGAAATGTAGGGAGAAGAAGAGAGATAGAATATAAATTTAGTTTGATTGTTGAGGCCAACATCATTATCAGTATTACTTGCCTGTAAAGTTCTGTGAGAGAAATCTCACCACTTTCAATAAATTCTCCAAGGCTTTGATCTCCAGGATGCATGTTCAGAGGGAGATGGGTGTGGGATCTCACAGTGTGGGTCATGCTTTCCCTGGTTGAATTCACACTGAAGAGACCACCAGCTGCTTCAAATTCCATGGGTTGTGGTGCAAGATACTGCTCATTTTGTAGTGAGACCAGATGCAGGAGGAAGCCAATGGGAGGTTCCTAAGTTGTTCAAGTCCTGGGAGCCATTGCCTGCTATATTTTTTTATTTTTAATATATTTTATTTATTTCAGGGAGGAAGGGAGAGGGAGAGAGAGATGGAAATATCAATGATGAGAAAGAAGAATTGATTGGCTGCCTTCCGCATGCCCCACACTGGGGATCAAGCCCACACCCAGGGATGTGCTCTTCACCGGAATCAAAACTGAGACTTTTCAGTCCACAGGCTGATGCTCTATCCACTGAGCAAAACCAGCTAGGGCCCACTGCCTGTTTTAATGAACAAACCAATTCTTGATGCAGGAGCACAGTTTTCAGAGAAGCAGTCTCTGTGCCACTTGGTAACTTGGTAAACTCAAGACTGAGGATGTCTGGCCTCTGCTGTGGGGCCATCCAGGATTTCACTTTAGAAGCAACTTGGAGGGAATAAAATCTTGAAATGACTTGGCTCTGCTTAGCAGCTTCATGTCCCAGAATGGCTCTGAGTCATGTTCACTCTCTGCTTAAGAGAAAGCCAAGTTTCTCTCCCTACTCTCTTCACACGCACTCTGATCATTCTGAAATGTTATGTTGAAAATTGTCAGCCCCCATAAAAACATGCCTGGACCCAGAGGCTTGAGGGAGTCATACCACTGCATCCTGGTGGCACTTTGTGGAGCACTTGTTACATCTATTTCAGCTTTGTCGTCAAGAAAGACACTTGAGCCGAAGCCAGTTTGGCTCAGCGGTAGAGCGTCGGTCTGCGGAATGAAAGGTCCCAGGATCGATTCGGGGCAAGGGCATGTACATTGGTTGCGGGCACATCCCTGGTAGGGGGTGTGCAAGAGGCAGCTGGGCGATGTTTCTCTCTCATCAACGTTTCTAGCTCTCTATCTCTCTCCCTTCCTCTCTGTAAAAAATAAAATAAAAAGATTAAGAAAGACACTTGAGAATCCGGCGCAGTTGTGATGTTTCATTGTCCATGAGAAAGGAACCAGATGTTTCAGAGACAAATATATCAAGGGTGTTAGATTCAGTTGAACAGGCCAGCCTACACTCCGCACAAGTAGGTGGGGGCTCAGAATCACACACTAAAGTGAAGAGACAGAGAAAGTAACATTCCAGCAACAGAAATAATGAGACTGATCACAGTGGTCAGCACCAGTGGTGTGGACAGCTCCTGTGGTCTCTGGACACAGGCCTTCGTTCAAATGACCTTACTCTTCATTTTTATGTGTGGTAAAATTCACATAATAGAGTTTACCATTAAACCAAGGTAAGTTCAGTGGCATTCAGTGCATTCAAGATGCTGTGTAACCATCACCAGAACATCTTCAACACCTTTTAACCCCACACACCCATCGCACAATCATCGCCCTTTCCACCCTCCTCCCAGTCCCTAGAAAACATGACTCTGCTTCCAGTCTCCATGTCTTTACCTATTTTGGATTTTTCCTATGGATGGAAAGGCACAATATGTGCTGTGTGTCTGGCTTTTTTCACTTATCTCAACGTTCCCGAGATTCATCCATGTTATCCATGGATCAGTTCTTCATTTCTTAGGAGATATAAAATTTCATTATATGAATATACCACATTTAGTTTATCAATTCATTAACTGATGGACATTTGAATAACATTTGTGGACAAGAGATTTTTGAACAGCTGTATCATTTATTTTGGTTCTATTTCGAGGAATAAAATCGCTTGTTTGCATGCTAATTTTATGTTGATTTACAGAGGAACAAACTGTTTTCCAGTTTTGTACCACATTATGTTCACACTAGCAAATATGAAGCTTACAATTTCTCCACACCCTCACCTCGTCATCATTCTAGAGAATGTCAAGTTGTAAGTCCTGGTAGTTCTGACTTGAATTTCCCTTTCAAAATGACATGGATTCAAGCTGGTGACACAAAAGATCTAAACTCACCTCCTCCTATGGATACAACAGTTAGCTATGAAATACACACACTCACACAAAACATATGAAACATCAAAAACATAAAACATGGGGGAGGGGAATAAATATGTAGATTTAGAGCATGTTCAAACTTAACTTGCTAATTACTTAACACAGACTGGTATACCTATGGGCTGATACATGTGAGCATCATGATAACCTCAAAATAAAACTATAAATAGGTACAGGAAAGATAATCTAATAGATGCAGCCAAATCAGCTCTGTGCCCAGATCAAAGTGATAAAGAACGGGGAAAAGAAGAAAGAAACAGAGAGGAACTACAGAGCAACCAGAAAGCAATGAACAAGATGGCAAACAGTACATCCGTAGGCCTTAATGCCCTCCCATCCCCCAGAAATAGAGCCACTTGAGCAGAAAGAAGGGCAGCCGATACACCTTGGAGCCAATGGAAATAGCACAACATGCCTTATATACCCAACCCCACAGATCTTCAAGTTTTCCAAGTTCTTTTGCAAAATTTATATTCCCTTGAGCAAGCTCGTCAACAACCTGTCCTTCCTCACACTCCCAGCCAAATACCAGGGGGTGGTCACTGAGCACCTGACCACAGTGGGTGTTATTTTGATGAAAGAGACCATGATAGTCAGTGACCTTTTATTTGTAGATTTGGAAATTCTAATTTGAGGAAGTGAGCAAAATGAGAAACTTGCCAGGTTTCTGGGGTCCCTCCTGAAACCAAGATAGGAACTCACATGCCAAAAGGATGTGATGTCTATTCTGTTTTGTTGTTTCAGTTGTCATGTATTCAAGCACACGCAGCTGGTACATCTCAGGCTCAGTTGCAGGCTCTGAGAGTCTTGCTGAGGCCGCCCTGCAAATGCCACTGTTTTCCTTTAGTTCCCATAGAGGAAGAGGGAGGAGGGGAGGGGCAGGAAGAGCAGAGGAGACTCATAGGACTCTGTCATGGCCCGCATAGAAAGAGTTCCAATTCAGGGTTCAGGTTCTGGAGAAGGGCCGCACACAAATGAAAAGAGACTTGAAGAAATTCAATTTGGTGATATGGGGGGCCAGGTGGTAGTCCAACTCTAGTGGGAGAACTACTCCCTGCTCTGACCCAGCCATCCCCTTTTATTGAGGCTTTTGGGAAAACATTTTAGGCAACATAAACAGAAATTTACATGTAGCTATTAGGCAGGAAATAACAGAAACTTTCACGGGAAAAAACACGGTAGATTCTACTTCAGCTGACAATATCTCAACTAAAGGTTAGAGCAATTAAGGTTGTTGAACAGCCTTCCTGGCTTTCTGTCAGCATCTCTTTTTGAGTGAAACTGACTTGTTTTCCAGAAGACTCTGAGTGAGAGAATGAGAGAAGTTGTGCAGGATACTTGATAAGCAATGGACGACTTTAGAAATGATTGACATAACCAGTGGCAATATCGTACTTTTTTGTATCATTGACATTCTGCACGAAAGAGTTCAAAGACTCTCCCCTAGATCATGACCCAGTAAGAGTGAAGGTAACAGGACCCGGGAGAGGTTCCCACTGTCTCCTCCACAGGGATTCTTCTTCCTTGTGCTGAATATGCTTGCTCTCTGAGGGAGGCTGAGGGTGCACTTTATTGCCTATTTTTCTTTCACTCTATTTGAAATCGTGTGGTAGCTGTGATGCAATATCTGTTTGTTCTAGTAGGTGCAGCCAAATCAGTAATATCAGTCATCATTCAAACCAGTAATAAAGAAACCTCTGTGCCAAGTTCCAACTGGCACACTCCAGGTTGGGTCTAGATGAGGATAAGCTAGATTTCTAGCGTGTGTTAGGCTCTTGTGTGTGGGATGGGCGAGCAGGGGGGATGATGCTATGATGAGATGGTGCAGAGAGCTTATTCTGCACGGAGGGGCCCTTAGGCCTCCCCAGCCTATGAGATCCAGGCTTCAGCTGAACAGAAGAAATACAGGGGGGACAGGGAAGCTTGGGGGAGGAGAGGTTTGAGGTTCAGGCACCAATTCTCAGAAAGTCGGTATGTCATGAAAAACATGTCAGGTTTAGTGAGTACACCCTACACACAGTGCTTTCATTCATTCATACACACCTTCATCCATCCACTTATTAATTCATTCATTCAATATTCCCTGAGCACATGCT